ACTACACCACCGAACCCAGGACATTCAATCGCACCCGCCCCCCCCCCCCCCCCCTACATAGGGTCTGTGATGCCAGAGTGAACAGCAATCGGGCCATTCTTTATCTCAAGAATGAGCCCCTTTGGCCGATGATGCCGGTCAGCGGGTCAACTTTCCGATTCCATTTTTCAACAGTATCAATCCTCCCGGTCTCCTTTCGCACGCCCTAAACCTAACCAATGGAGCTATCGTAATGATTCTGTGGAATCTCCGGACTGTCAACGACCTTTGCAACGGCACGCATATAAGACACAAGAAAGGAAATGCGTGTTAAATGTTTAGGCGATCACGGGTGCGCTTCGTGGCAGCGTTCTTTTGATGCAAAGGGTTTCACTGCCGTTCGATCTTTGTCGCCGTCATTTCCCTACCTAGCTTGCCTGCGGTATAACTATAAACAAGATGCAGGGACAATCACTGGATCAAGTCGGATTACTGCTTCCGGAACCAGTATTCCCGCATGGTCAAATATGCGTTGCCTTCTCGCGAGTTCGCTCTGAGGATTCGCTTAAGATTCATGTTATCAATGGACCGAAGCAAAGCAGCAGTGATGCTAGCACCGTTACCGAAAATGGTGTCTATGGAGAAGTATTTCTTTGATTGTCAAGTTCATTCTTAGGGACCATCCATTTCATTTCCGTTTCATTGACGCTTGGGTCGCGTTTCTTAATATTTCATTGTTCCTACCATATTTATTTACACATGTTGAACTAATTTTTTTTTCATTTTTGCGCCTACTGGGAGATCATAATGAACCGTAGAACGAATTTTGGCAGCGAGAATCTAAGACTGTTCTTATTAGATGAGCCACGACAAAAAGTATAGGTCCTTTGGTAGAAGGCCTACAATTGCGGCCACATGCCGCTAGTACGTATCTGATATGCTTGTTAACGTATTTTTGGACGACGTGGATGAGTCGCGGCAATGTGGAATCCTAATAAATATTTTCCAGGCACCTATTCCACCATGGTACGAACGCATTGCATTCAACTGCGATGAAGACGTTCGGCAAGGCTGAGATTTTTTGCACATCAGTTGATCTGGATCTGGCTACATGAGAGGGATGGAAAAAGATTGGCCAGAATGGATATTTTTACAGTATTCAAAAGATTCTATCGCGTCATCTGATGCCAGACAAGAACGAAGAGTATCTTATTCAGGCCCATATCCACGCATTTTCCGCCATTGTTCACATATGTTTGCTCCTCCATTCTCTTTTCGTGTGGTTGTTCTGAATTGCAGTACACTATCTCGTTTATGGCAGGGAAATGATCTGTCAATACATATAAGTTATATTTATAGCCCATTCTGACACATTCTTCCAGTTTCATGCTGCGTCTCATAAAATATGTTTAGAGCCCTCGAATCAGAAGATAAGAGCCTTGTCCATTCATCTTATTCCACTCATCGGCTTCCCTCCTCTCTTACCTCCTCCCTCCCTTGCCTCATTATTTTTCGCTTTGCAACATCCTTAAACGAATTGGCCTGGATCGCAATCACGCTAGGGTGAGTGTCGCGAATGTCGGCACTCTAAGGAAATTCTGCACTTCCACTTGCATGCTGGTTTTCGTAATGGAGCTTCCTCGTTCATAATGGGTCCGGTGATACCTTTATTATAAACCTTCTTATACCGCAAACCTCGAATGCCCCAGTTCTTTCATTTCCGAGGGCCTGGGTCAAAGGTGAAGTTGGGTCAGATGTTGGCAACCTCAGCATACTTGCTAGTATAGATGGCACCACCCAGTCGGGTGGGCACACTTATGTATCACTGTCGTTTACAACAGATCCAAATATGAATGCAACAACCTGATAAACAATACCTAATGTGGAAGAGAAGAACGGAATGTGCAAAAGCTTAGCAAAACCCCAAGATTTCGCACAATTTTCGGAGTGCGCTTAGAGAAAGGGGCCACTGCGAGAGAACTATAACAGCAAATAGGGCTGTTCCAAACACATTTTAAGAACACTAGTCCTACCATCTGAGGATACTTATCTACCTGTGCATAGGCCACTAGAGGTGGAAGCAGAATTTTGTAGATTGCAAAAAGCAGAGATTACCCCCAGTGCCGACATTTGCAGCACATGCCATAATTGGCTATAATTTGATGACACCAATGGTAGACTCTGGTTCGTTTTCAGGGGCATGGAGATGTGCATGTTTCTTATCTCTCCCTTTCCAGGTAGAGGAGAGAAGTATGCTACAAATGGAACAGGAATTTACTGTGATTTCAGTAGGCAGTGGCTGATGAAAAGTTTCACTTTCAGCCGTTTTCATGGAGTATTTTTTTCTTTGCTGGCAAGTTTTTATTTCTAGTGCAAGGCCTTTCTCAGAATTTCCTTCAAATTCTCTTTTATGTGAGACCATGTTCAAAATGCTATATTTGCAACTTTTCCAGAAATGAATATTTGAATGAACCAAATTTTGCAAAATGAGCCATGCTCCAAAAAGTAACATATTTCTACCGCCTATTCTCAGGGTCATGAAAATTCGAAAAATAGGCGAAACGACATATATTACAAATACGTATTACAAAAAGAAGACATATTCAGCTCTTTGCACAAGCGTATTTTTTCTTCATTATATTGACCAAAAACTGAATAAAACGGGAGAAAATGTTATTTTCCTGGTTTTTCTTGTTGGAGATAGTTAACCAATGGGATAAAGAATTTCATTTTGAATTCAGTGGAAAGAAAATGTTTAGTAATGGAGAAAAAACCATGAGCCTGTCTTCTGACATGGATAGAAATGTCATGTAAGTCGGTGCCAGGTTGAAAAAGAGTCATTTGTGCCCCAAAGAATGGATTGAGATACAATGACCTGTGTACATGTTCCAATACCAAGCAGGGCATCCAGGGTTGTGCGAAAGTTCCCGTACACTTTGAAAATCTAATTTTCTCTCACCAATCAAAGGATTTTTGGCGATTCCAATGTATTTTTTATTTTACGGGCTTTTTCGATACGAAAAGTTTTCATTATAGTAAGTTTCACTCTTTATTTGAAAATTTTCTCTGGAGCTACGGCACTCAACTTGCAATGAAGCTATCTTGCATTCACTGATTTCAAGTGAAGGAATGAACATAAAAATATATAATTTTTAGCGTTTCTTCCAATGACATGAGAGGCAATAGCAAACACAGAAAATTGGAGGTACATGCGTTCTACAAAAGAGCAAAATTATAAAAAATTCAAAATTAAAAACCCTACCGATCACCTTAAAAATAACTGCCAGACATTAAACGGTCAATCAGTTAAGCAACCATGATATGGCGGTTGTGGCACAAATAGGCTAAGATGGGTAAACAAATATTTATTTAACGCAAATCGGGAAAATAACATAATATAGGAAATAATCAATGTTTCTCCGTTAGGAACCCTATCAATCATGTTCAAAATCCCACCCGACATAACCCGATCATTCTGTTACGCAAGCATGATGCAGCGGTTGCGGCACA